AAAGCACACTAGGATGGTGACAGGCTGTTCCGTCGGACTTGCACCAACTCGTCAGGGGGCTGCACCCTTGACAGTCTGCAGAATCCCCATATTGATGTTTTGTGGGACGCTGAGCCCAGTTCTCAGCACGGGATGCTCCCAATGAATAGACTGGAGCCTGTGTTTGTCAAAAAAAAAAAAAAAAAAAGAGTCATGATCTACCTTAACCCCTGTTGTAAGTGGACAGCCAGCCAGCAGCTGACATCGCAAGCAGAACGGTGAGGGCGACGCAACAATGCACTGGATGAGAAGCAGCAGTGAGGCATGCACGGGGGAGGCAGATGAGCAAGCCAAGCACCAAGTCGAGTGGCAGGGCGGCGCTATGAGTGGCAGGTAGCAAAGCAGCAAGGCAACAAGACAGTGAGGCAACAAGCAGCATGGCAGTGGAGGAGCACAGACAAGGTGGAACACACATCCAACACAGACCAAAACAGTCCATCGCCTACCGGCACCACAATTAGGACACTGCAGACATTAGGTTCACATGACCATCAGAGCCAAGGGGCTACCTTGACAAACGCCTGTCATCACCCTAGGAACACACCAACACAGACATCACGAGCCCAGCAGCCCCCGGAATACTGTTGAAGGCACTCCAAACAAACAGGCATTGACTATTTAGCACGACATAGAGGTGCTCCCTAGACAGACAGGAAAAGCACAAGAGAGAGAGAGAGAGAGAGAGAGAGAGAGAGAGAGAGAGAGAGAGAGAGAGAGAGAGAGAGAGAGAAACAAACCACTGCAATGGACGAACTTCACAAAGCCTATGCAGCATCACAAAAACAAAAGATAGACTTCACGTGTTCAAACCTCCAAAGCCCAAACAGTCCACTTCTCAGGCCCACGTCCGAGCTCACAACCCACCATCGCCCGATCTCCCCGTTATGTAACAGGCAATGTAGAAATCCTTCGACTAGTTTCATCCGCCCATGCAAACTCATCAGGAAGGTGTACTCTGTCGAGTACTTCTGCTGAAATGTGTGTGTGTGTGTGTGTGTGTGTGTGTGTGTGTGCGTGCGTGAGAGAGAGAGAGAGAGAGAGAGAGAGACAGAGAGAGACAGAGAGAGACAGAGAGAGAGACAGAGAGAGAGACAGAGAGAGAGCAATCGCGTAGACCAAGTAGCAACAGTATATATGCATGGCACGCAAAGCATACACATGCCGATGTACACGCAACCACGGTAGTCACAGCAAAAAAAACTGCTGTTAAATTCGAGCAGAAAAGTATCCAATGGTAACGAGCTTGACGCGTCACTAAGTGTCGCCGCCACCTCCATACAACCAACCCTATTCCGCCAACGCGATCGCCAAACTACGACTGAGTCAAGTCACGCTGACTCCCTTCGATGCGGAAGCATCCCGAGGGGACTCTGCAGGAGCAGTTGTGAGTGCCAGGCACTCACACAGTGCACACCAGAAAGAGAAGGGGTTTGTGGTAACGAAGAAAGAGAACAAAACAAATAGAAATTAATGGCTTAGAATGAGAAGAAGGGGAAAAGAAGAAAGAAAACAAAACAAATAGAAATTAATGACTTCTCTGTGTGTGTGTGTGTGTTTGTGGTGCTCGGGGATTCTGCAGGAGTCTTTCTGGGAGAATTGGGCCGGAATCAGGCTCGAAGGGAACTGAACGCGGGGATAGCCATGGCCATACACACAGGTCGCGTACACCTTCTCCGCAGGGTGTGGGTGGCTCAGCATCCTTGGCAATCCAGCAAGAGCCAGGTGCTCCCGACTGGGTTGCTGGTGAGCCGCACAATGGAAGAGAAGTGCCTCCAAACTCCGAACCAGACATGGAGCATTCCTTTCCAAGATTTCAGGCGGTACATTTCGCTCTCTCTGCTCCTCCCTCATATCCATTCCAGTCACATATGTTAAAGAAGATATGATTGACTCTTTTAGAATGGCAGCAACGCGGGCAACAGTAAATGGGCATGAGCTGATGCATGATCTGCTCTGCCCTTTGGCCAATTCTAGCGTCAACGTTGATTTGCACTGATTTCATTAATTTTGAGTGTTTTCTGAATTTTGTAAATTAGTTACCTGAAGAGGTCATTTTGCGTAGTCTGTTACGGACCATTTTTTAGATGATTGGTAGTGAAAGGATTTTTTCATGCTGCACACACGTCCTGAATCCCAGTCCCAGAGTCCCTGTTGGGCCCAGTCCCAGAGTCCCTGT